GTCAAAACAACCCAACCGCTGGGTCAAAACAGCCCAATAGCTGGGTTTGTCCATTTTTAACCCAGCATTTTTTAGAGTGTAGATGCATAATTAATGACTAAATTAATGTTTGGTGATTGGAATATGGTGTATGAATTGTTTGGACTACTTTCATGATCATTTTAACTCTGTAAGTAAAGCCTGACATATGAAACAATACTGAGAAATATATTTGTTTTTTTGTTTTTTGAAAATGAACTGTTTATTGAAACATTTTTTAAATGTTTGCATGATTTTATGGACCATATAGTATGATATAATTAAAATATGGTGCTTATACTTGAGTAGGGAAAAAAAACACCTCAATATTATTCAGAGGCACAAACTGAGCAAATTTGATGCAGTTGCTCATATGTATATTGCCAAAAATATGAAATTTTGATAAGATTCTGTAATGTAAATCAATGAGATCTTCATAACAGTAAAATGCATATGAATATCATTTATAACTCTAAATCTCCCAGTAATGTCTTAATAAAGTGATATCTAATAATATGTCTTAGAAAGATGATAGAATGACTAGTTTTAAAATCAAAGCTCTCTATTTAAGATTTTACCATGATTTTACATGAAAAAAATGATGCACCGATTATCAAGTAAACCTAAGTTAATTCAGTCCAGCAAGTGTTCATCTTAAATATTATTAACAATATAAAAGTTACTCTTAGAGTTACTCTTTATAAATTCAGTAAAGATTTCACAGCAAAAGACGTGAACCACCACCTGAAGGGAGACGCTTTTACAATTATACTGAAAGGATTTTTACTTGTTAAAATGCACTATCAATCAGACGACAGAAGGCATGTAAGTGGATTGTGTACAACAGGTTTTGCATATCAAATATGACACAGTTTAGGTGCTTTTTGTCGGTTTTGACAGTCACTCATTGTACTGATTGTACTGAAAAGAGCAGCATGAACATTCTGCTAAACTCCATTTGTGTTTGAAGTGAGAGTAAATGATGATCTGTCAAACCAGAACAGACACATGAACTACAATAAGGCCTCCCTGCATCTCTGCTTTAATGTTCCCTCTTCACAATATGGTCTTTGCGACACTATATCAGTGAAGCTACTTCTACCCCACTGAGTGATGCTGCTTGGGAAAAATAACTGTGACATATATCTCGACCTGAGCTCATAATGTGGCATTATAGGAATATTCAATGTTTCTTGTTTCTGAATCAATCAAACACACACACACACACACTCACACTCACACACACACACACACCACACACACACACACTCACACTCACACACACACACACACACACACACACACACACACACAACACACACACAGAACACAAACTGTGTTGTTTGTATTGTCAGATGTCACCAAATGTACCTAATTAACCTTGAGATGCAGGAAAATGACATCCTGACAGCTGATTGCACACACACACACACACACACACACACACACACACTCCCAAACAAACTTATTCACTGTGAAATTCAGTCGCAGAGGCTTCTCAAAGGCTTTTGTGGAAACCGCATTTCCTTGTCACTAACAAAACTGAAAAACACCATAGTGCTTGAAATTAAATTAAATAAACATTAACTGAAATAAAATGAAATAAAAAATCTTAAACTTATTTTATTTCAGCTAGTCACCAAGGAAGCA